GAGACGTAAGCGTAGTCATGGACAACGTTCATACAATAAACCTGCAATACACGACGTCTCTTTTGATTTATTACTACCTTATGTAAATCAACATATTACAGGTGACGTAAATATATTCGTAATGAGGACAAAACTTTACTTTGTCCCTTTGAAACTTTTAAATCGCAAATGTGTGTGTGTGTGTGTGTGTTAGTGTGTTGAAAAGGCCAAGGAACAACCTTTGCATTAAATTCCTCGTTACCTGAATATGTGACTCTATCATTTTTGTGATTATGGATATTGCATATCATAGGCTCTTTAAACCCGCACGCTTCACGGAAGAAAATGCAGCTAAAACAATCCGTCTTTTCCTTAAACTTTAATATGCCAATAAAGGAATTGACGCGGTTAATATAGTAATAATTTAATCACAAAAGGGTCCAGAATTTGTATTCCACCATATTTCAAGTTAAAGTCTACACCTTGTATTTCCTACAAATATACATTGACCATTGCTTCCAAACTTTTAAATGACAAAAACACTTTACATGGCCTGGATACTATCTTCCCAAGTCAAGAGTTTCTGATCCGCTCCCCTCCACATAAAACCTTGACTGAATAGACCAAGTTTGATGGGGTTTACTGTCACGCCATCTGGTGAGATTACATACATTGAACTCTACTGACCTATGCTTATGGCCAATCAAAATAAAAACGAATAATCATAAAATTAAGAATTTTATGAATAATGGGAAGTTGGTGATAGATTCAATATAATTCAACTAAAAAGCTGAGACAAACCTTTAACTGGACTATTTACAGATAAAGACGTTATCCTTGGGACTTCAACAAGCTTGTTTTTCTGTTTACAATTCAGTTTAAGTTTAAATAAAACAATGATTTTGATTGGTTCATGCAGACTTGCATTTAGGCCAACAGAATATGAGATTTTTCTAACCCCGTCAAATTTAGCCTATTCGGTCAAGGGTTTATATGTAGCAGAGCGGATCAGAAACTCTTGACTTGGGAAGATGCCTGGATACCGACTATCTGAAACATTATCCTCCTTCGTGTACGTGTTCTTCTTCGCCCTATAACTCTAGTCCTGCTGGACACGATATTACAGGTGACGTAAATATAGTTCGTAATGAGGACCTAAGATCACTTATTATCCCCTCGCGCAACCGGTTGCGGAGGGGATATACTATAATAGCATCGCAAGTGTGTGTGATTGTGTTAGTGTGTTCGTTACACCTTGTGGGCCAGAAAACCTTTGCATTAAACATTCTCAGCGTTTACATATTTGTGTGACACTATTCATTTTTAAAGTTCATTGATGAAATATTTCTTCAGATATTGCATTTTTACTGCCTCGAAACCCTGACATTTTATGTACGAGTTGACAATAATCATTTCCGCTAGGGAACCAATTTAAGAGCCAGTTTAAAAGGCGTGTCAATTCTGCGGGAAGCAGATTAAAAGAATTTGATGCCAACAGGTGTCTAGGAATTTGGTAATGACGTTTTGAAAACTGTAATACAATCCACAAGTTCAATTAACCTCTCGATGGACATGTACATTGTTATTTTTACACACACACGAAAAAATGCATATTCCCTGGAACTGTGAGATATACTTACATTGTAGGTTGGTAAATAATTAAAATTACTGAAACTTATACATATAGCATATGTGATATGTGTATCATTTATATTGATAGTTTTGAAATTTTTCCAGAATATAAACGTGATTCATATAAGAAATCCCCCCTACTCTTGAAATGCTATTCAATTTAATTTTTGTTAAAAATAGACATCCTCCACCCCGATTATTTTGTTTAAAAAATAAATAGTGCTGAAAAACAATTTAATATCATATTAAACTTTACTACCCCAAATTAGGTATCCCTGTTATGCCCCCCTTAACCAAGAAGCTACGCACTTTGTATTTTGTATTAAAAAAAATGGATCAACACAATAATTTTGTCAAAGGTAAGGGAGTTGATTGTAATGTTGCGGGTTTGAATCCCTTTGTTGGACGTGGAGACTGGTCCTTCGAATGAGACCGTGTAAACCACGGGCCCATGTCCCAATAGAAGATCCCTCACTGCTCAATGATCATCAGTGACAGTTCCAATTATAGGAAAGAATGTGCAGCTCTCCACCGGAAAGCCTTCATATGAGCAAAAAATTCCTGAGAGGGACATTAAACAAAATACATTGTACTATCAATCTTTAACATGTTTAACGTCCCTCGAGAGAATTTATCTCTTATGAGGGATTGCCATTTCCAGTGAAGGTCCAGTCGCGAGGGGATGCTCCGCTTAGCGGTGCCCTTGCTTTAAAAGGTCCTAAATATAGGGAACCCCGATCCTTCAACTGGCGTCGGAATTTCATAAATATTATGGATTCTGTGGAAAATTACGCCAGACGATGGCAAAGATATGAAAAAGAGGGCATTAACACCTTGTCAGAATGGATTAAATGTATCAGATCCATGTTAAAGTCCCGTATTAAAAGATTGAGGGGCAATATGAAAACCATATATCCTTCTGTGTTTGATAGATTACACGATCAGTACGTACTGGTTCCTGCCGACAAAGCAGGTAACAACAATGTCTTCGTTTGTAAGGCTCATTATATAAATTGCATTCTCGAAGAACTTGGATTTATAATTCAACAAGTGGTAATCCTACTTATAGTCATACTTCCCTTTCTAAGGAAGAAATTCTTCAAAATCACCTGTTGGTTTTGAATAATTTCAATATTCCACAGAGCCAAAATGAATTTGAACTACCTTATATATTTTGGATTCCAAAACGTAATAAGAATCCTTACAAACAAAGATACATTGCAGGTTCCAGTAAATGTTCAATCAAGCCTCTTTCGTTACTCCTCACTAAGATATTGACAGTGGTGAAGGAAAAACTTCAAGATTACTGTGCAACTATATATTCAAGAAGTGGTGTGAATCAGGTGTGGATACTAAAAAATTCTAAAGAACTTTTGGACACTTTGAAATCACAAGACTTTACAAAAATCAACAGCTTAAAAACTTACGACTTTTCAACTTTATGCACAACAATACCCACGACAAATTAAAATCCAGGCTTTTTGATATCATGGACAGCTGAATTTTCAATAAACATTTCGGAAATTCTTTTTTTTTTTTTTTTTTTTTTTTTTTTGCTTAGGAATGGTCAAAAATCCCCGACAGAAAATACCAGGTGTTATATTTACAGTGGACACCCAATATGGCATCCAAAATGGCTGCCAACAGAAAACGAACTTGAAACTTTGTTACAATAATGATTACTCTTTATATTTAAGGTAAATGTACACTAAGTTGACATATTTTATGTCTCAAATTAAGCTACAAGCTATTTTTTAAAATTCAATAAATGGAATCAGCTGATTGATCAAACGAAGTTTTGCCATTTGTCGTAAATTTACTTACCAAAGATATTTTTTTTCGTCACTGGTCATTTGCAAAATTATTTTGTTAAAACAGATTCTGATTGCAACATAAGTACTCTAAAGTTGACATCAAGAAGATGCTTGAGTTTCTGATTGACAACATCTATGTGGTTTTTGGAGACCAGGTATTCCAACAGTCTATTGGAATTCCCATGGGTACAAATTGCGCTCCGTTATTAGCAGACTTATTTTTATATTCATATGAAGCAGAATTTATGCAAAATCTTATGCGTGAAAAGAAGAAAAAACTTGCTGTGGCCTTCAACTCGACATTTAGATATATCGACGACGTATTGTCAATTAATAATGGTAATTTCCATTCTTACGTCGATACGATATATCCTAGTGAGCTTGAGATAAAAGATACCACAGAGTCCGACACTTGTTTCATACTTGGATATTTTACTTGAAAAAGACACTAATGGTAATCTAACAACCAAGCTATATGATAAACGTGATGACTTTAACTTTTCTATCGTCAACTTCCCTTACTTATGCAGCAATATACCTTTATCACCTGCATACGGAGTATATATATCTCAGTTGATTCGATACGCAAGAGCATGCTCTACGTATGAACAATTTCTAAAACGAGGTAAATTATTGACAAGCAAGTTGACGAAACAAGAATATCAGCAGTCTCGTTTAAAGTCATCATTTCGTAAGTTCTATTGTCGATACAATGACCTTATCAGCAAATACAGTTTATCATTGAGTCAAATGCTGACTGACTTTTTTCATACCAATTGTTAGTCCATTATTTATACACTGAATTGACGACGGATTTTTTCCGTTATTTCCTGATCATGACAAGGAGCACACGGCGGTTGTGACCGGTCGGCAGAGGATGCTCACTCCTCCATGGCACCTGATACCACCTCTGATGTTTCGGGGGTCCGTGTTTGCTCTGCTCTTGTTTTGTATTGTTTTATGGACTTTAAGATTGTATACTGTTCGTTATCTCCATATCCATCTATTTCGTGCCAGCACCTACTGCGACACAGGACCTTGGTTTATACAGCGTTTATCATAGTGCTTGATTGTTTGATTACCATTAACGTCTTTCTCAAGTAAAATATCCAAATATGAAACAGATGTATCAGACTCTCTAGTATCTTTCATCTCAAGCTCACCTGGATATATCGTATCGACTATCGACATAAGAATGGAAATAACCATATCGAATATGTTGTATAGTAAGTACTTCTCAGGTTACCCTGAAAATATTTTGATGAGGTTGCTATGTATCCTTGTTTGAAAGGATCAAAATCCAGTGTTCAAATACTTTTGCGGTTGAATTAATTGATTGTTGGACATATTTCAAACATATCTAAATTGACATAATTTTAAAGAATGAATTCATTATTTTGTGAATATTTTGACAAAGTAACAAATATGTAGTATAGAAATGTAAAGTTCAAATACTTTGGAGGTATAAATAGTTTAATTAATGGAAATTTTCAAATATATTACTATAAACATGATTTTAAAGAATAAATCCATGAATATATGAATAATTTGAAAAACAAAGATGGATCAAACAAGTACAGTATAATCGGGTACTTTATTTGGAAACTTTATTAACTTATTAAAACATGCATTACTGTTGCCAACTCCAACAAATCCATGTAAATTATTTTAAAAAAATTAAATGTCGAATCTTTCATTAAATTTTTTAAAGTGTTTTTATCTAGAAATTTTCCAGTTCAGCATTTCTAATTGAATATTTTTACAGGAGCAGCAAAGATCAAGAAAGGAAAACAAATGAGCAATGTATATCTGAGTAGGTTTGTAATCAATGAGTATTGTCAGAACACAGGATGCTTCAGATTTGTGTTCTTGTACAATGTATATGAACAATCTAAATCAGCCAAGGAAGTATTGCATTGTTAAACACTGTACGGTTGTTATGCCAATATATGTGCTGCACGCCAGGAATAACGTAAATCTTCACCTTTCTTTGGTTGTATAAGGTTTTCAAACCAAAAGAATCTTCCAGGAAGTACTGAAATGTTAAGATAAATATAGTGCAAAGATATATTTTTAAAGGAAAAGAGAAAAAATGTCAATTACGATGCATAATGAAGGATAAATATACCATATTCAATTTAACATAAATCGAAAATGTTTTTTCATCAAAAAATGTTCTGAAAAAACAATATATCTGCAAAAATCGGTAATGTTATAAACAAACTTACTCTTTGTTGTTCTATTTCGACAACCTTCTCCTCAGAGTTGTAAAATGCAAAATGACTGGAAAAGGTAATAAAAAATTCAACGCTTACATGTATATATTTACGATTTATTCGAAACAGGATTTTTATTTTTAAAAGCCGATTGCATTAGATGTCGGCTACGTAATACTTGGTGATACGGGCTTTTTGTTACCTTGACTGCCAAGGTGTGATGACGCCATCATCCGGTCCACCAATCAGAACAAGTCTATTTAGCCTCAGAAAGTTTTGCTTATATTCTGTAAAAAAAATATTTTAATTTCAAAATAATTTTACCGTCATGAGGACCAGAACAGTATAAGCATCAATTTCTTTGAAAAAAAAAAAACGTTTAACCGTTCATTTTTGATGTGTAGGTGTCGTTGTTTAATGGTGCAAGAAAATTGGAATATTTCTGATACTGTTTCAAGTGATGGGGGTCTGAAACGAAATCAATCTGAAAATATAAACTATCACTTTGAAAGAAAACATTATAGTTTTCTATACTTATTAATATGAATAATTAATTGAATAAATGTGTATTATAAAAAATACTCATACATGTATCTTTACCTTTCCAGTAGTTTCCAATCGATAGGTCCTGACCCCCTCTGGTATAAAACAGTCTACAGAATGATAGATATTACTTTGTGAGGGCCTATTATATGTTTTGTTCTGATATTTGTTTTAATGCGTAAACTTTATGGATAGTATTACCTGTATAATTCTGATTTTAGGAATTTTGGAAAAAGGTGTTTCAGATATGCTGTATCTGAAAAGAGAGAAATGTATAAGTTATATATAAAAACAAGTGTCGCGGCAATTGTAAAAAAAATGGACTTTTTAGCCTGCCAAGGTATATAGAAAGCAGGTAGCATATAAAGTGATATCTACTTTAAACTATGAAAAATATTTCACTTGCTGATAATGTAATGCTTTAAACACTATGCACTTGCGAGTATGAGCATATTCACAATTCGATATCTAAAGTGTTTATCAGTATCTTAAGTTTAAGTAAATGTCAATATATGATCAAATAAACAAATACAATTACCTCCATACTGGCCTGCGAGAGGAGCGCTCAATGATATGAAAGTGTCGACATTATGTTGAGTCGTCGACAAAATACCTCGACAAATCAGCCCTCCTATCAATAGTACATTAAATAATATATATACATGGTAACATTGTTATGTACATGTATGCCTTTTTCTCTTAAAAAATTTTTTAAATTTCACCATTCAAGTATTTAGAAATGAAAATAAATTATTCTTATCGAATTGGGAAATACAGATTAGATGTATGCTATTCAATAATTTGATATTAAACATGTGCTTTAATAGTGAGAAAGGTATAAAAACGCAAGTAATTGCTTATTAATAATTCGTCGTTCAAAGAAAAACAAAACGTTTTCATACTTTAGCTACATTTACCATCCCTCAGGGAAATAGCGAAAGCTGCTTGGAATGTTTTTAATACATGTATACGTTTTATCCATGTTTTGATACTTCTACATGAAAATATTTATAATATGTTTTTACCTACCCTGGGAGAAACAAATCAGATGGATGCCATCTGTGTGGTTGTTCATGATGCCTACTACATCATTTTTTATTATATCTATCTGTTTCCAAAGGGGAACCAGGCTACCTATCCTTTGGTAAAGGGCTATGGAGTAGAAAGGCGTGTCAGGGTGAACCTAAGATAAAAAGTACAATTTAAGCAACTACAAAATATCATTTGGTGTGGAACGACATGTATTGGTTGATGTTTAAAAAGTAAATAATTGTACCTCCTACTTTCAACAATGTTTCAAAATGGTAATATAGATACTTTTTTTGTTCGTTTGTTTTCTTTGTCTTATTTTTTTTATTTGTCGTATTTTATGTTTAAAATACAATTTTCAATTATTGCTTCTTTCCTCACACGTGTTACTTCTTCAGGGGCGTAGCAACCGGGGGGGCCAGGCCCCCCCACTTTTTTTCCCAACCTTACTTATACTATACGAAATGTTAATTGAAAGCCTGGTTGGCCCCCCCCCCACTTTTAGTGATGTACCGAAAATTAAGTATTAGAATTGGTACTAAAAGTAGTTGACACTGAGAAAAAGCCTACTCCCCCCCCCACCCACGAAATAGGATTTCCGACTTTGGGCAACTTTTTCCCTTTTTTTTTTTTTTGCTTGTCAACTTTTTCAGGTAAGTAAAAAAATTTTTTTCTCAAGCTGGTCCCCCCACTTTCAAAATCGATGCTACGCCACTGTTCTTTGAAGAACGATGTAGGCAGAATCAGGCTCCGAAATCCAAATTATAACGGCTGGATATGTTAATTCAACTCTGCTTTTCTCATTGAATTTAGGCTAGGATTTTAGCAAATGTAAACAAGCAACGATACCGAATGCTGAAAACCAGATTTAATTATGAAATGCTCAAGTCAATGTTAGGACAGAAACTTACACTCGACCACATCCGACAAATGTTTAAAATGCCTCTCCTCAATACAAGATGTATATAGTAAGGGACTTCCCTTACGCTTACCTCTTCTACCCATCTCTGAATATCTGTACCCTCTTCATAGTTACCAAGAATTCCATGGATAAAAACAATAGCCTTTGGGCCACTTGTCACATTATTTGCAGTAAGTAAAAGAGCTAAAATTGACAACTGTAATACTATGACCAACAACATCCTGTCCCTGTACCTTAACGTTTGTTTATCTATATCAGCGACATTATCTAGAGAAACCTTTGAGCCTCAATATTAGACAGCGTCTCCTGTGTGTGGATTTTATCATTAAATTGCTGGTGAATATACCTGAAGATACATGCACCTTTTTGATAGAAAATATAACGATGAGGTAAATTTGGTCTTTACAAATACAAACGACTGATTACGGAAGTTTATCGATAAAAACAAGGAAGACAATATGTTTTATGACTTAGTATGGCCCTTTTCACAAGGAGTACAATCGAGATTAGTATCAAGTACACACTACAACTGGCGAGGGTTGTGCACACTGTACGTATACTAAAACAGAAAGTTGAAACCTCTTCCCCTTTTAAGCTACATTTTCGAAAAGAGTTTAGATATAAAAAAAATAGTTATGTTACATCTATCAATGTTCCATGTAAGTAAAGGTCGATACGGAAGACAGATGTTTTCTCATAGATATGATTAAATTTTAAATTATTAAGATGTTTTGGTTTTCCTTGTATAATCTGTGCACCTGCTCTTCAAATTTCTTTAAAATTAATATTTTGTTAAAACTGTGGAAAGCTTTTACGTATTCAAATTGCAACCCGACTCATTGGTACGAAATTCAGAAATACTTTTCCGATGGAAGAAATGGACAAATTCTTACAACAGATTTTTTATGGTATCATTGAAAAATTAACGATTCATTTGAATTAAATTTCTCTCAAAATTTGATATTGTAAATTAAGTGTACTTTATGGTCAAAAGAAAGACTATTGAAAGTCATAAGAACCGAATCCCGTAGCCCCAGCTCGATTTCAAATTAGTCTGGTGAGCACATATTATAAACAAAATAAATAACAAAACCTTCTTTACTTCATCGAGTATAAATAAAAGCACAAAATCCTCTCGAGAACCATGGATATTTCATCCAAGGTATTTCATGCAAAAATAAAGATTCGTTTAGTAAAGTTTTGTCTTCTTTGTGTATGGTTGAGTCATTTTAGGTACAGGAAGGAGAAAGCTATTTTATACTACCTGTTTTATCCATGTTTCAAATTCTCTTCCTTCTGAAGAACCTCCAAATATTCCATGCATGAAAACCACTGCTTTATGAGTACTCACGAAACCGAGCAGAAAACCGATGACAGAGATCCAAACTAAAGAATCCATCTAAAGCTTACAGACTCTTCGTTTTGTATGGCGGATTTTTATTAGATCATAAGTACACATAAATACGAGTTAAAGGAAATCTCTTCCTTGATTTAGCAACCTTGGTAATTAAAACCCGGAAATTATTTGTAAAAATACGAATGAATTCATTTATTAAAGCAGATTTATCAAAAACGGATGTACTTATTTCGAACATGAAGAGGCTCATAAGTTTCTTTGAATTCAGTCACCCGATGACCTAACCATTTACTAAGTCATCTCACAAAAACTTTAAAATCTAACAGCCCACATAAAGTGAGATGTATAGTACATTAAATGAAAATACGAAAGCTCTTTAGATTGATTGTATATTGTTGAGTCGGCAATTTTTCAGCCATGTTTCGGCGGACTATCAGTATACATAATCGGTTTTTGAAAGATTTTGGTTTCTCTGGCGGCCCCCAGTGAGTCTACTCATTTTAACTTAAAATTTCTTTAAAAATACGTAAACTGTTAAAAATATTGTATAAACTGCTAATAAAATAAATAGACATACATATGGTTTATGCAAGCTATTCCCACTTTCTGAAAATCGGGTAGAAAAAGGTGAAATTTCACGTGGGAGTAGGTGGAATTTTCTGTAAACAAATAATTAACTATGTTCTTAAATTTAGGTACTAAGTTGCTATTTCTTGTAAGATCTTTTTATTATTTCAAAAATCCAAAATAAATCATATTTTCTCATAGATGTATTCATTATTTCCTGTCTTTAAAAATACAAAATACAGGTAACTCCAGAAATCTATTGTTATTTGCAAGTGGGAATACGTGGAATTGAGATTTTTAAAAAGTGGGAATAGCTAGAAGACACCATACATATGTACGTATTTCTCATTAAAATTAATTTCATAATTTTATTTAAATTTTAATTCATAGTAATCCGTTTCGAAAGCTCCTCCGTGAAATGAAAAATCAGTATTCAAGCTGAAGTTCACTCAAACAATACAAATTAGCAGAGACAACAATGACCTATAAAACAGAGATTGGATCACCCTTATTTTGTTGTGAGACCTGTGGCCTTCTTCACAAGAAATCTTACGATTAAAACTAAAATCCCCCATTCTACCATATAACAAGTGTCAAAGCTGCGAAAAATTATTTTTGTATTACATTATATTAAAATTTTAAGATAAAATAGTAAAAAAATAATTTAGAAAAGAATTGTTTAAGTAATAATTTTTATATTTAGTTGTGAGATTTTTTTTTGTAAAGGGCCACTGGTCTCCCAAAACCACATACGTTAGACGTTGTCACTGAGCTTCTTTTTTATATGAACTTCAGAGTACTTTTTCTGCAGTCAGATTATTTTAAACAATATGAATTTGCAAACGACCAATGATAAGGTTAGTAAATTAATTAACGAGTTCCATTTTTATTGAAAAAGCAGCTGTCAATGATGTCTAGAACCTGGGTTTTAATTTATTCGGGAATGATTGTATTGTATTAACTTTTAGAGTTGAAAAGTTGTTACTTTTTTGTTATTGATAATCTGTAAATTTTTGTGACCTTTTCCGAAGGTTCCATTGAATTTCTTTAATACCTAAATCTGATTTAAACAACTTCTCCAATAGACGAATGTCACATTCCTAAGAGTTATCTCCCGTTCTCGGCGTAACGCTCATTTTCCCCACTCTGTCCTTTGTAAGTAAGTAACGTTATCGGGACAATGTCGATCTGTACCTGTATTACCAGGGTATGGAACAACATGAAAAACACTAGATGCTGTCATGAGACAGTAATACCCGCACTAAGGTGTTTGCCTCTAAATACTTACTCCTTCATATTGGACTTTCCAAGGAAAAAGTCAAAATAATTCTATAATTATCTCCGTACATGTATTCGTCAAATTGAGCATAAAATTTTCAGATGACCATATGATCTATGAGCCTCATAGATGTATTTTGTATACTTAATTCATTACCAGTCTGAAATAACAGAATTTAATCAATAAAGTAAATTACTGAATTAGATTCTGATAAATATTTTGCCCATAATTTGGAACTTTTTAAATTTACTTTCTCAACCACATAAAATATTATTTTAGGAAAAAAAACCCATTGAAAATACAGCCCAATGATTTGTAAATGCCTGTCCCCCCCCCCCCCCTCACCATTACACACACACACACACACACTCTCTCTCTCTCTCACACATTTTTTTAAAAATAGACCTAGATGGCAAAGTTATTTTAAAACATCGTTTATTATGATAGTTTGAAATTTGTTCGTGTACTAAACAGTTTTACGTGTGAACATCTTATTGAAAATTTCTACATTCACATTGGGTTTGCGTCACCCATTATCATATTTTTAGATGTCCACTCGGCACACCTCGGCCGATTCATACTTCATCTAATGAAGGCGACGGAATATGAGATTATTTAGCACATGTATGCTGACGATGCAGTGTGGCCAGTTAAAATCATTTGTGTTTTAATTGAATTATATGGATTATATTTCATGAATTCGTTGTCACGACCTATGACATTCGGTAAGTACAAGATTTAGTATAGATTGGATAAAAATAAATAAATACAAATGGTTAGGTTGAAGTTCAAAAAGGGTCAAAGATCATTGCATGCCACAGTCGACAAATTTCACATTGTCAAGTTATCTCCCGTTGCGGACATTCAGTATATACACTATTACAGGCGTAGATCCAGAATTTTTTTTTCGGAATGGGGGGAGGGTGGGATGTCACACCTCAGTCAAAAAAAAAAATCCAGCCCATGATTTCCCGAGAAGCAAATAAAAAATAATAATAAAAACAATGATGGTTGGGTCCCTGTTTTCTAAGGGGGAGGATGTCCAAAGTCATTTTTATTCTCTTCAGTAAATAGTCTTATTTAAATAACTGCAAATTCAAGGGGGGGGGTGTCTGATCTCACTAGCCACAGACACCCTGTAACCTGAAATGACAATTGATCTTATGACTCCATAATAGTAGAAAATTTTTCCATTTGACTATATATACATATTTTGTTTCCTGTGTGTATGTCTGTTTGTCTGTTCACAGAAACTTTAACCTTGCCCATATTTTAGTTTTAAGTGGATTGGGCTATACACATGGCTTCCACATTTCATAGGTAAATTTCTTTTGGCAAAACCTTTTAATGGGTACCACCAATTTTGACCTCTTGATCTCTTGACCTTGGAGTTTGACCCACTTTTACAAGAAAAATACCTTAAACTTGGCCTAATTTAAGTTTTGAATAGTTGGTGCTAGGACTTTCATGCTTAACATGTGTAATCATTGTGAACTTTCAACAGGTATAAATATCCTTGACCCTAGAGTTGAACCCAAGTTAACTTTAACCTTGGCAATGACTTTTGAACAGGTGAGGAAGTACTAGGAATTTCTCTCTTATTTCACATGTGTATTCCTTGTGACAAGAATTTCCCTTTGATACCAACAATTTTGACCCTTTGACCTTGACCTTGGAGTTTGACTTACATTTGAGAAACTTCAACCTTTGCCAAAAGCTGCCATAACAGTTGCTGTCACAACAAACAAACAAATTAAGAAAAAAACACAGTATACATGTACATATTTTATATTCAACAGATATACTTCTGGTCATATCTCAAGTTCTCCCTTGAATCAGACATGGTGATATAAATATTTTAAAAATATTTATTATAAGAGTTGAAAAGGTTGTGCATATTAAAATATACTAAGCTCTGCGGATGAATTAGATGTAACGGTTTAGCTTTATTTTGCTACCCAAAGCACCTTGATTAACTATTTACAAGCATACTGTTTTCTGAAATGTACTGTTTTCTGTCGTCCATCTGTTTGTCTGCAAACTTTTCACATTCTTAACTTCTTAAGAACCACTGAGCCAATTTCAACCAATTTACATGTAAATATGCAGGGGACTTTTTCCAACATAAATCTTCATCTCAAGAACAGCAAGGACATTTATTGTCCCCCATTTTTGCTAAAGGTAGGGGACATTAAATCTCATTTGTTTGTAAGTCTGTCCATCTGTCACAATAAATTTAACCTTGGTCATCATGGTCATATATTTTGAATGAGAAGAGACGGGACTTTTATATTAAACATGTGTATTAGTATTTAATGGGACAATA